TACTGTACATGACATTAAAAGATAGATTTTCCTTGACTGTTCATACCTATTGCCTTCTATACCATTTCTTGGAGTGATATTCAAAAGCCGACCACTCCATCTTCAAATGAGCAACAAGAAGCACTTCTCGGGTAAGGATAATCAAAACCTTACAGAATTCAAGACTATTCCAAAATAGAATCGCCTACAGGCTAGTACTTGTTCCAAACGAACTTTCGCCTTTTCTAGTAAGCATGTTAATTAGACCATCATCTGATTTTTTAAACTCTACTTGCAGTGTTGGAAGTGAAGAAGACTGCGTGATCATCAAAGATGTCGGTACGTAAAAGTCCTTGCTGCGCATTTAGCAACAGGTAATGATTTGCGTGATCATATTTTTTGTAATCTTAACCCGTCGGTATATAGCCGTTAAACCCCTTGAATATGAAGAATAGATATGTCCGGGATTGAACGTGTTGGCAAAAATTGGCAAGCCAATTTTTTGGGGGTTTTGCAATTCTAGCAAGAAAATGATTCACGAGAAAATTTTTTGGGACACTTACTTGAAAGCATATCACAAAAATTACAAGTTAACAACATTCTAGACTAAAAAGAGAAAAGGCAAAGAAGGGCACCGAGAAGGCCGCAAATTTAGCGAACGTTTCATGACATACATACACACGCGTACATACATACATCTATTGTTGCTCCCTAACTAGGGCGTTTTAGCACCAATATTACAAGTAAAAAAGGAATAAAAATTGTCAATAAATATAATAACTGTATAATAATTAATTAATATATTAACATGATTCACTAAAATATTCTCCAAAAAGCACTGAAAGTGTCTAAGATACTCAACGTCCTCATGTGCTTGCTTAATCCATTCCAGATTTGAACCCCTCTAGGCAAAACGACGCTGACAAGTTGGCAAGCAACAACGGGAAACATTTAGGTTGTAAATTGCAAAAGTAACAGGAATTTTTCTTGCTATCTAAAGAGACGGAGTAACTAATATCGCAAGAATAACAGGATATTTGTTAAAAGTGGTTTTCTGTTTGCAATTAAAATTATTGTTAGTGCGAATTTTACGGACTTTTGGGGGTCTTCTTTGACTTTCTTCTCTAAGTCTTCGCATGAAAGGTTTGATATTATTGTGTTCATGTCCTTGTCAATGCTGTCCGCACTATCACTTATAGACTATTTATATGCTTATACTTGCTTCCCTTGTAAGGACCAGGCTTCAAATTAAATATTTAAATGTAACGTAATGTGTAATACTTGTTCACACTTTCCAGTGCGACATGAAGAGGTTTTACATCACATGGAAAAGGCCATGAAGGATTTTATTGGGCTGGAAACTCTGAAACAGCAGTTCCTAAGATTTACGAGAATGCAGCTTCAGAACGACAGAAGAAAACGGCTTGGGCGACAAATACAGCAGGACACACCTTTACACCAAGTTTTTGCCGGTAATCCTGGTACAGGACAAACAACATTTGCAAGGCATGTAGCAGGTGAGAATTCCAAAGTTTCACACTAGAAATAAACTATGGGAAAAAAGGTTACAATAAAGGGCCGATTTTTTATTTATTTTTTTAACTTTCAGTTTTAAAGCAATGCCGCTCCCACGGCTTGTATAGTTCCCGCAACACTTAATTTATAAATGCCCTAATTTAACCTGGACGATGTCATATCTTATTACATTCTAGCCCCATTGGAATTATAGACTGAATTTCCATCTATTGATGTGATGACGAGTTAGAAAAAGAGAATTAGCGAGATCTTATATATTATTCATGTATTAATTATGATCTTCTCCATTATGATGTAATTGCCATTGAATTCTACTTTCTTCTAGACCTGCTCTTCAGCGTAAAGAAAACTAAAAAAAAATAAAATTGTGGAGGTCCAAAGACCTGACCTTATAATCAGCACAGAAAAAAAAACAAAAAATTGTTGAAGCTCCTGGTGACGTCCTATTTATAGATGAGGCCTACCGGTTAATACTGACCACTGGTGGCAAGGACTTCGGCCGTGAGGCCATTGAGGAGTTGATGGCTGTTATGGAGGATGGCAACCCAGTAATCATCGCCAGGTACAAAGACAAAATGGAAAAGTTCCTCAAAGTAAATCCAGGACTGAGGTCTAGAATTTATAGAAAGTTCACTTTTCTCGATTATTCGACTGACGAGCTTGGGGAAATGTTTTCATCTAAAGGCCAAACAAGAGGGATTCCAAGTGGATGCCAATGTGGCAGCAATTCTCGCTGCGTACACATCACCTGCCTGAAGAAAAAATATGAATGCACCCCTGGTACGAATCTTGTTTCACGAAAGTGTTGAAGAGGCAAGCAACAGATTACCTCTTAATGCCACTTTATCACAGCTAATGGAATTGAAGAAAGACAACGTAGTGGCAGCTTACGCTCGTCTTCCCTCAGTTCCAGAAGGAGATTCTTCTTCTTGAACACCATATTTCCTTGAATAATCGCCCTACCAATACGCGCCCCTCCGATCTTGCCCCTTCCTTTAAGGTGTTTTGATACGGTTTTTCGGAGACCATACTGATGGTTTTCAATCGTCTTAAAAGTGATTTTGTCCTTGTCCGTTTTAGAGATAATACATATGGTATTGTCTACCAAAAACGGTATTCAAACACCTTAAGCCGAAAATTAGAAAAAAGGGCCCGGGTGCTTTTTCGGGGAAATACGAGAAGTTGCATTAAAAAAATTCTGGACAGATGTTCCGGTTCAAAAAAGTCAAGTGTGCCATCTGTGTTTACAGTACGTCAGTAAGAAAAGCGATAATTCTGAAGGCCAAATACAAAATACTTACAGTATCATTCAGTTCTTAAAGAAGGAGAGTCTACAACTAGTCATTGTTAGTTAGTATTTATATATTTTTCCTAGTCAAAAGAAATTTTGCAGAAAGGGTGAATTGTGGTCATTGGCATGCTACGTAACATGAAGTTCAGCATATAACTGCAATGATCTTCATTCACATAAGTAACATGAAGTGTGGATTGCTGCGTCCAAAAATTAGCGTGGCCTCAGTGAGTTGAAAAGATTTTTTGCTGGATGCACGAGGTCACACTTCATTCAACGCTGGTCATTGGCACGCTGAAGTGTAATTTGTGCGACTAATTTTCCTTTGATGCAAGAAATCATGTTCTGTTTTCCTGAAAAAAAAGATGGTTACTTTTCATCCTTATATATGTCATAGCAAGTCGATAAAATCCAAAGTACACAAGGACTTATTGAAGAAATACTAACTGAACCTGTGCTCTCCAAAGAGAACGTTTTTAATGATGTATAATTATACACTCGGTTAATCACGGCTTTGAATGTACATGTAGTTTTCAATCATTTTGCGCATATAGTGTTCTTCTAAACTTTCTGAAAGCCGTATCTTAAGATCACATAGTAATTTTCAAGGAGCTGTAATAACTCTTCTAGTGGGGTCAATTTAACTCCTTACAGTGGAGTTATTTTTGGGGGGAGTTATTTTCACTCCCAAAAGGAGTTAATTTCATAGTAAAAAGGACCCCAAATTTGGAGTTAATTTAGGAGTTTAAGAGGCGCTGACTGTAAATATCGAGATTGTGCTGACAGTTGCAAAATTTTGTAATTTATTTTATTCCACCCAAAAGGCCCTTTTGGTGAACTATTTGAAAAAATGAAAATAAACAGTTCCATCGCACTCTGGTTTTTCCGAAAAATCCAAAAGTTCAAAACTACGCCGAGGCAGCCCCCGACCCCCCCGAAAAACAATGAAAAATTGTGCAACTTTGGCAACTTCGTACGCGGCAATGCTGTGAATTCCCAGTTTGCTCTTTTGCATATTGGTGAAAGGACTGTTTGTCTTTTAAAAACTGTAACACCCATGCAATGCTGTTATGTTTAAGTCAGCATAATAATCTGCTGAAGTAATGTATTTTGCATCTTTTCAGTTGAGGTAAAAAATAGGTCAACTTTTAAGGCCTCTAAAATTCCTAGTATATATATTTTCATGTTATTTTGTACATCAGGTTAAAGCTTTAGTCTTGTAGTTTATTCCCTCCAATTGTCGTTTTTGGCCCAACAAAAACGGTGCATCCAGTTGGAAAAGAGTTCGGGCTATTTTGAGCAAAACTTCAATGCGAGCCGCGGAGCAGCTGTCTCGCAAGAGGCATATATGAGTTTGGCAAATAGTGTATTTTTTCCTCTTTCGATAGAAAATGTTTGCAAAGAACACCTTGAAGTGCTTAACTGACCTTTTCATTACATTTCAATGCATATAAGCATGCCAAATATCATTTTATTTATCGCACATCTTAGAGACCTAACCGCACAATAACACTGGCCGTCGCGCTTGCATGATATACAGTATGCTATAGTACATGTATGTGGTCTGTCTAGTCAAAATAAATTTACATAAATTTTGGTTCACGTACACAGCGAAACTCACAAAGTTGGTATTACACTTGCTTAAAATAACGCGATGTAGACCGAGGAGCTCCCCATCTTTCTCACTATTCGACGAAAGGATAAACAAAACAAATTCAATATAATGATTAGGGATGATGACATGAGTGACAGTTCTCTTCGTCCTTGCATTCTTAGCTTTCGGTAAATTCGTTCATACTTTAAAACGCTAACAATGGCACCGTTTGTGGCTTAAATCCCTTTTCTTGCCTAAAAACAAATAAAAGAAGGAACAGAAGAAGAGGTAAAAGAAAGAGTGAGGGAAGATTCAAGACCATTTTGACAAAAAATTGTATTCCAAAACAAACGTCACGCAAAAGGACAGGACTCTGGTTGTTGTAAGGATCTTTCTTCTCTCAGTGTTTTAAGCAGTATGTTACGTTTTAGAATTCTCTTTTTAAAAACCCCACTGTTACCAAATCGCGTCGAGCAACATTACCGTATTATTATTATTTCAAACATGTCAAATTTGATTTGCGTGATAACATCAATGATGTAATGCAACGATCCTGCCAGGCAGCGCAATACTTTGGCGAGGCTGATAATCTGTACAGCTCTGGAGGCCACGTTTTCCTTGTGGAGCCATGAAATTACTTTTGAAAGCATAACAACATTTTTTTCACTGTTCGTATAAATGGCGTCTTGTAGTTATTCTTCTCTATTGAGCAAGGATTCAACAGCATGTGGAGCAAGCTGGAAAAACCCTGAGGATTTTCAGTGTGTCACCATCCGAGATTGCAACAAAGATGTTTCATCTCATTTGCGATTATGCAACCTAGTGGATGACAGAGTTGAAAGCGAATTCCAATTATTGCTTGCAAGGGCAGGCACTGTTAAGATCAGTTCTTATTACTATCCTCCACTTCTCCGTCAGTATTTGATTCCGTTTTGTTTTTGATAACCTGTGTACAGCGCCCCTCCCCTGCTTAGGAGTGTTTATTAGTGACGAAACTCATGCATTGGTGACGGTTTGTCCACAGCATCGAGAGACATACGGAGTTGGCTGGAGGACAGGAAAGACCAGATGTTCAGTTCCAACCAAGATCGCAGGACATAAGTCCTCTACGGCCAAAGGTGACCGTGGAATCAGTAGCAGTGAGTCGGCTTTCGTCCTTTCAACAGTAAAAACGTTTCTTCCAGTCGGAACACGTGAGTAAATCCTTTTCAAACTATATCCGGGTACATCAGCTCTGTTCAATAACCAATAGAAGCCCGGGGGATACCGCGGACTGATTTCGAATGACTGTCAGACGGTCTAACCCAGGATAACACTTAAACGGAAGTTTAGTTCCGTCTGTGACTGGAGATTGTGGCTCAGGCTAGGCCGAGTGATTATCCAAACATTTTTGTAGGGTTTGAAATATACGATTCCAGGTTTTTTTTTGCCGTGGGGGAACATTTTTGAAACTTTTTTTTTCGTTTTTTTGCTGAATATGACTATGGTATGCCTTGCTTATCTCGACCGCGTCAGGTTCATGCTATATCAAGTAATCCTTTCTGGCTCAGAAATTCAGCATTAGATTTATGGCTTTCATTTTGCTATCAATCAATCATCCCTTTGATTGAAATCCGGAATAGAAGTTGTTCGTGTCAATCCTGCAAAGAAATCCCCAGAAATAGATATTCCAGACCAAAGGATCTTGAAGACAGAAAATTCTTTCGATCAATGGCAGGTGCGTGAAAACTCACTGAGAATAGAAGCGTGGAAGAGGTTGCCTCGAGGGAGCTATCCTCTTCGATCGGCTAAGAGAGAGCGCCTACGTGCCAGCGAACCCATCCAATCATCTTGCGTCTCTCTTTCTGTTGCTCTGCTCCGAAGAGGCCTCGTTGGGTCATGGGTAAGTTGAGAAAAGAAAATGGGACGCAGAGCAGAAGATGGTATGATCGTCCACCACGTGTGTACTACATTTCATTAATTATAGCTAAATAAATATTTATGGAATAACCAGCAGTACACCTCCTGCATTCGTCGTAGGTGCTCACAAAGTGACCTTATTGGCTCTCAGTAACACATCCTCTTTCTCTCTGTTCCTTTTTCTCATGAATTAGCCTCTCCCTATATCATTATTGAGCTTAAATACAGGCACAAACCTAATTCTTTTCAGCACCTTAACATGTATTTCTCATTTCTTTATTTTTGTGAAGCCATTTGTAAAAGATGCAGAGGAAACTTAACTGAGCTTATGGCCAACTTTTCTTTGGAGCCAACCCTTATGGAAACCCCTTGTTCAGGGGAGCCTCCGTTCACCTCGGTTAAGTCAGAGGTCACGCCCTCCGAGATACCTAGCTCTGAGGAAAGTGAAAAAGATCAGGATGAACAGGTAAAAATGCTAATATAATACAAAATATAATGCTTCTGAATAACTTAATCTGAAAATATTTATTCTATATTTATAACCTATTCTGAAAACTCCTTAAAACGAAAGAACATGGCTGAAAGTTACGCGAATCCTACTCGCCTCTGTAATAAGTGTACTTAACAACTACATTGAGAAACAGATCTACCCAAGTGAAAGGTGAAAAAAAAAACAAACAAACACAAACAAATGAGATAAGCAAAAGCAAAACAAATTAAAGTGTATTCCTAGCGTTATTCATTTTTTACTTTAATCATTTAACGACTCACCTTTCCTTGTTTTGTTTCAGGAAAGTGAAAAAAGCACGAGCTCAGAGAGGCTGGTACCAGGCATTCAGAAACTTCAAATTCCAGATGAAAGTTATCTTCCATCCTCCGAGACTGCAAGCACAACATCATCTAGTGGAGAGGATGCAAAATATCAGCTTCAAAAAGCCAAGCTGAATGCTTGTTTAGAACAATGTAATGTCGAACCTCTTGTCAGACATTGGAAAGACTGGAGCAAAGCAAACGAACGTACAGAAGAACGATATGTTAGGCGTCCATCTGAGATAGTCAAGTCGGTTTTGTCTGTTGTATACCCCGAAAACTACGTCCACTTGTGGAAGGAGATAAAAGTATCCTCTGCAATGGATAAGCTGATGGGTACCGATTCTTTGCAGCTTTCTTCCCACAGCAGCTACCTTGAAGCCTTCTCTGAGGCATATAAGAATGCAGCCAGTTTGGACACCTGCCGGCAAGTCTTGTCGATCATGACTGGGGTGGCGAGTTATAGAGATATCTCAAGGTGCATACCTGGGCTCACCCAACACAGGTACACCATTGCCAATCTTCACCGTCTTCAGCATGGACGAGCAGCTCCGCTGCCAATGCCGCAGCTAAAAATTGACAGGAAGCAGCTAGATCACTTTCTCGCTTACATCACCAGCCCTCATTTAGTGCAGGACCTGCCATCCGGGGAGAAGACACTCAAACTATCATCTGGTCGAGTCTTGCAAGTTCCGAACGTCATTAGAATGATGATACCTCAGCGTATTACACAGCAGTACATACAGTACTGCTCAGAGATTGGTTTTCAACCATTTAGTGAGCGGACAATGTTTCGTATCTTATCAGAATGCGGTGCGTCGGTGCGGAAGTCCCTTCAGGGATTCGATTACATTGCAGCTGAAGGCACAAAGGCATTTGATAACCTGTCCGACCTCATTAAACAGACCTGTAATTATGGTGACTCGGATACAGTATTACAGGAGAATCTAAAAGCTGGAAAGTTATACCTTAAAAGCGACTTCAAGGTAATAAATGTTGGTAACTGATTAGAGCATTGGTTATCAAAGGATGCCAAATGTAACCACTTATTTGTACAAAGACAGCTCGGCATTTTCAGCATTAGATAATTTTTTATATGTAGGGAACATAAAAAAGAAGCACCTGTTGCATTAGGGAATCTCCATATGAAATCGATATCAATTTTACATTATTAATTTTATACAGCATATGTGAATATATTTACCTGTGTTAAACTGTTACAGTCAAGAAAAATCCTTAACCTAAGACAATAGTTACTCCTATGTCCTCTGGACAAATTGTGATAAAGAAAGTCTTGAGAGAGTCCCGAGGCTCCAGAAATGAGTAGCTAGAGTGATCATGAATGCCCACCCTCAAGCACCATCAGTTGCCCTGTTTAATTAGCTGAAATGGTTGCCTTTTTATAAAGAAGCTTCAATATCTAAAAGTATCATTGCCTACCAGCGATTACAAGACAACATTGCTGTTTATTTAAACGGTAACATCCAAAGTAGACAAACCAGATTCTGTAATTTTAACATAACCTCTCCGAGGTATAACCGCCAAAGTAAAGGAGGAAGAACTTTTACTGTCTGGATCGTAATGAATATTACCTTTTTATGGTTTAGTAGAATCTATAGTATGTAAATCATTTAGTGTATTTTTATAGCTTGATATGGAAACCAGTCGTTTCGCCTACAAGTCGATTCGCCTACACTGACGTCGATTCGCCTACATGATCTGAGTTGTTTCACTGAACTTAAGATAAATAAGACTGAAGCTTACCTGTTGTGATAAAACTCAAGCTTACCTGTCGTGACATGATCTCAGTGCGAAGACTAGGTTATAGTATATTATGCGTTTTTGTCATACAAGCGTACTTGCTTGTGAGATTTGGGATGGATCGTCTTTACACGTGACATGATCTCAGCGCGTAGACTAGGTTCTAGTTTATTATGCGTTTTTTGTAATACAAGCGTACTTTAATATGAGATTGATATTTGTGCATTTGGGATGGATCGTCTTTACACGTCCACGCGCGGTTTGGTGCGTTGCGGTTTGCCGAAATTTCGTTTTATTTCCATCAACAACTTTAAGTTACATAAAAACAAATGTTCCAACGTGAGCAGGGTATGAACAGTTAGAGAAAACAAAGTTTACCTCTCAGAAAACACGCGCGCGTGTTATTGTAATGTAAATAATTATCTTCAGTTATCACCTATCTAGTGAATGAAAGAAAATAACAAATCATGGTTAAGATGAATTTAATGTGATCCTAATGAATTAATCAAACAACTGCTCGTATGTATCAGTAAATGAAAGACTAATTCAATAGAATCATTCGATCATTGATCACCATACGAGAACCATCTCTTTATCTTCATCCGAAAACTCTCTTGCCGAAAATTAATTCAAGAATGGCCGACAACTGCATCCAGTGTCAACAACCCGTCACAGCAAAACAACAAGGAATTCAGTGCGACGGTTGCTTCAAATGGAATCACAGAACTTGTAATACTGGTAAGTGAAAACTTCCATACTGTACTTCATTTATTAGAGCCGAGGATCCGAGCAGCCAATATTTGCTAGATGAAATCGTCGCGCAGCTTACATTTTTTTTTTCGCAGGTATTTCTCGACAAGAATATCGCGCTGCTGTGCGCGCAGGTGCCGAGATCATCTGGTTCTGTCCAGTTTGTCCCGTGGCTGAAAGCTCGAGAATCTCCATGACAGAGTCATCAGCAGACATTCTAGAGTCAGAAGAGTTCAACCCTCCTTTGAGAGATTCGTTCGCGGACCAATCGACAATTTACGGTCCCCAGGCACAGCCAGCAATTGAAGAGTCCAGTGAGGAAGCTATGGTAGGTCTTAAACTGTTTTAAGGACTAAGAATGAGGAGATCTTGAAACTATACAAAATTAGTGGTCTTCAAACATTACTTTAAGCTAAGGTTTAGTTTGGTGAAATGTATATTCTGGTAAAATCGATGTTACCAATTTCCGTGAAAGTGACATTTTGCGCGTTTAAGATTTTTGGTTTTGCGAAATTACTTCAAGGTAGTGTCAAAAAGTAGCTTGATATTATGTTTGCTGTACTGTATCGAAACACCTTAAAAGCCCTGTTGATGTATCGCACGCTTTAACATGAGAGGCGGTGAGAGGCGTATGTTCTAAATTTTAATTCTTTTTTCAGGAATGGACAGGTGGCGAAGCGTCAATTTCAGACCCGCGCATCCAGGACCTAACTGCGGATGACCCTCCTGAATTAACTTATCAATTGGTAGAAGGTGGTACGAAGCGCGCCAAAACCAAACTTGCAGATAGTGACGGGTACACCTACAACGTACAGCTTCGCAGACCCAATTGCACGTACTGGCAATGCACGGTCCGTCCAAAGGGCAATCACTTTAAAGCCATTGTGATCCAGCGAGGAAATGAATTCCAACAAGGGAAGATGGAACACAATCATCCTCCCGCAGTCGGTGCCGCGACGGCAGCTAGAGTCTTGGCCTCTGTCAAGGAAAAAGCAGTTGACGACCAGTTTAAACCAGCGTCAGCAATCGTCAATGAGGTAAAGTAAATAATACACAAATAGAGTGAGGTAAATTGACCAACGTAAAAAGATTCAAATAGCTGACGTTTCGAGCGCTAGCCTTTTGTCAGAGCGATTCGTTCTGACGAAAGGCTAGCGCTCGAAACGTCAGCTATTTGAATCTTTTTACGGTGGTCAACTTAACTGACCCCATTCAATAAATAAATAGTATATTTTCGTCTAGTATTTATGATTACAACACTTTTATCAATATTTTATATTCATTCAAATAATCGTATAGTAATCTGTGAGTAGCGATCTAAAAATAATTGGAACAAACCACTTCCGACTTCGTTTCCTCCCTTGATTTTATATTTGTCGATTCTAAGTAATTGAGAGGGTATGAAATAAAATAAGCGATGTGACTACAAAAATGTTTCCTTCATTTCCTTCTTTTCGATTAGGTCCTTCTAAATGAACTTGGAGAGGAGCCATGTCCCGCACTTCCTAAACCTGATCACCTCGCCAGGGCCGCCAACAGAGTTCGACAGTCTACGAGACCAAGGGATCCCTCAGATTTGGATTTCGACCTCTGCCACGAGCATATTCCAGACGGTTTCCTGAAGGCGGATATTAAGAATATTGGAAAACGACGCCACCTCATCTTTGCAACAGACCAGCAGCTGGCACACCTAAGCAAAGCAACGGTTTGGTACATAGATGGTACATTCAAGTTAGTCAAACATCCATTCCAGCAACTGTTTACGATCAACGCGTTTCAGCGCACCGACGATCACGCGAAGCAAGTTCCACTGGTCTTCGTATTGATGTCTGGAAGAAAGAAAAAAGACTATCGTAAGGTAACATGTCAAATAACTGTATGTACTTTAAGATGTAAGGCTGATCAGGCGGCTTGTCTAGTTCCTTCACAAGGCACTTCTCTTTTCCATATGTAAGAAGTTCAAAATGATTATTTTTACCTAAGAAGTTGTTTTTCATTTAATTTTTTAGGTCATGAAGTCTATCCTTGAGATGCTTCCTGTTGAGCCTGATGTCCGGCAGATAACGATTGATTTTGAAAAGGCATTGTGGGGTGTTCTTCGCCAGCTCTTTCCTGAAGTGAGGATCAAGGGATGCGTGTTCCATTGGACGCAGGCTCTTTGGAGGAAGGTAGGTCCAAAATGTTGACTGCAAGAAATAAGAGCTCATAGAACCTATTCTAAATTTATATTATTCTCAGAAGAAAGTTGAACTGAACAAGAACACTAAATTCGAATGGAAAGGCTACAGCCTTATGGAAAGTGTTGCATGAGGCGAAAATAATTATAACTTTCCGTTCCGTTTTGTACAGATTCAAGAGTTGGGGCTCTAGCATCAATACAGCAACGACCAAGGCACCTACCTTTATCTCCGGAAATTCATGGCGCTACCATTCCTTCCAGAAGATCAAATCCCACCTATGTTTGAGCAGCTAAGTCTGAAAGCCACCACCGCCCCACTGAAACAGTTCGTAAACTACGTCGCCGAAACGTGGATCCGCAGCAGCATCTGGCCTCCATCAAGCTAGAGCGTCTTCATGATGGCCACCAGGAGCAACAATGACATCGAAGGCTGGCATAAGGGCCTACACAGGCGTGCTTCAGGTAGATGGAATATGCCATTCTACCTCCTCATCGACCTTCTGCACCAAGAGGCCCGGCTGACAGCCCTGAGAATCCGTTTAGTCTCGGAAAAAAAACTGACCAGGATTCAGCGCAAGAAATACAGGTCAGTCCAAGCCCAAGTATTTAATCTTTGGGATGATTACAGTAGCCAAAGAAAAAATGCGGAACAGCTTCTTCGTCAATGTGCCCATCTCAATGGACCTAAACGCTCTAGATAAGTAAATAATCATTGTCATGCTAGGTTAGGATAGAATTGGTATTTACGCGTTCACAGATTGTCCCGCATGTACTTAGTTTTTTAAAATTAATCGTGAATCAATAGGTTAAGTTACAATTTAGGTTAAGTTACAATTTGAATTTGTTGTTTATGGGGCGGGTGTCACTTGGACAACCCACACGTCCTCGCATGTACTTCATTTTGATTGTAAGCAATAAATAAGTAAATAATCATTGTAATACTAGGTTAGGTTAGAATTGGTATTTACGCGTTCACAGATTGTCCCCGGCGTTTTCAGATATTGCGGTGTTGTATTTGTTGTGGACCCCGTTCAAAGCAGAATACTTCAAAATATAAAACAAAAACTGTTGTTACATCAAAGGTACTTGAAATTCTGGGGTTTCATTTTAGGATTACGGACTATACATTTTGACTATAGTCATTTGTTAGTACGAGAACGATGCGATATAGATCGCAACGATCGATCGATAGATCGTAAGATGAACAAGATGTTGGTCACAAAGTAAACTTACACTTGTATAAATGTGTAGGCGAAACAACTCAAATCATGTAGGCAAATCGACGTCAGTGTAGGCGAATCGACTTGTAGGCGAAATGACCGACATCCCTTGATATTATGTATACTTAGTTGTTTATCTAATTTATCATTTCATTATCAATTTGTTCGTTATTTGGAAGGGCCACAAGTTTATTAGCTCTAGCTTTTTCATGTTTACCCTCATTATTTAAAGTTTTTACTTACTCTCTACGAGTTCGCTACCCATAGACACCTTGTGACTTTACTTTTGTCATCAAAATATTAAAAAGGGGGCTAGTCATGAGGTTTGAAATTTTCTTTCCCCCAATAATTTTTTAATGGGGGCTGTGTAAAATGCAGACAGACTGCATAATATTGTTTTCAGGGTTAGAAAACAATGGGACTATTGTAGTCACATACTCATTTGCATGGTAAAAACATTAGTCAGCAGTCTGCATTTTACACTGACCGTTTTTTAAAGGCCCCTAATGTAACCAAGACGGCAGAGGTTGCAGGTCAGTGTGTTCATTGTTTGGCTGTTTAGAATAAGTTCACCAGCTGATCCATAAGGTGATTTAGTTTTTGCTATCATTACTGGCAAAATTATGGCTTAAATGTTTTTGGTAAACTTTTTATTTGAAAATTACTGTGGATGAGCTTTCACATTAACTTTAAGATTTATTACAAAATATGACAACTTATTACAATTCACGACAGCTCAGCCTATTACAATTTACAGTATCCTGGTTATTACAATTCTCAAGAACTGTTATTACAACTCACGACATTATCATAATTTGTAACAGAACAGGGTGTGCCTTTGGGACTGGAGTGCTTGGAAGGCACATCCGAGGGAACATTTTGTAAAATTTGATCGATGCCCCCTGCCAAAACATCTGACTTACCTCCCAGGGGCATAGAGGGCCAAAGGCACTTTAAAATAGGGGGTTATGAGGGCGCACTCTCCCCGAAAATCTCTAAATTTAGGGGTAAGGGGATTTAACAATCGTGAATCGTGACAGGTAAACTTTTGTGAATTTTGACCCTCATATCTCATGCAGCGTAAAGCTGGTCTTTACATCATCACCCTGTAAACGTACAGAACCTAATCCATGCAACAGCAACTATAATTTTTTATGTAACAGGCCATTAACAAAGTCAGTTCTCCCCACCCTAGTAGAGCAACACCAGTGCAGCCATAACTAGTTCTTTTGGTTCTTACTAAAATGAAAAGATGGATTGCTATTCTGGGTTGCAAATAACAATACTACCTACTAACCGTATGTTTTCCTTTTGTATTCTTAGGAGAATTGCTATTCCAGCGAGTGCATTTGATGACAAGGTAAAGTTCCTTGAGGAGACAAGGAAAAGTTTTGCTGCAGGCACCTTCAACATCAGTGAGGATGTCCTTCTTAGAAGTTATTATTTCTATGTAAAGGATGAGTATAACGAAGGAAAGCCCAGTTTTTTGTTGCTGAATGTATCTGCCTACGACAATCAAGAAGTTACTACTGGTGTCTTTTAAAGGAGGTTGTACATTTATTATGTTCAATTAAACGCATCAGGCAATAGCTCAGTGTAGAGTTATGCACCTATCAATGTTTAGCCAGTGTGCGTGCATGTGTAGGAGTAGACTCAGAGACCACTTTCACTTCCTAAACTGCATGAAGATGTCATAACTTAGGCTGAAGTTTAACAGAAGCTTCAAGAAACTGTATTACTTGCATTTACAGATTGATAGTTGCCACTTCTGTTAAGAAACCTGGTTAAAGTTTCATTTTGTCACTGTTGTAGATTCACGTGTAAAGTGGTGTGGTACGACCAAAAGAAAACCAGCAATTCCTTTTTACCAGCAATGTATTAGAGAGAGTTTTACGTTGAATGTTCCCTTTTGGAAGACGGAAACCATTGCCTTAATGTTGTAAAAATTCAGCTAAATTACTAATGTATAGGCACAATTTATTGGTCATATACAATAAGGGTAAATAAAAAAGAAAGGCTATAGTCTGAGTGTTAAACCTCTGTAACTCTAACATCCTTAAGTGGCTAAAAACATACTTGTTTGGTATTTCTGGATGTTGGATTTCATTATGCATTTCAATCATCAGCTTGGTAATTATACTCATATGTTTTACATTTAAGGTAGGTGATATTAAATTTTTAGCTGCCCACCTGTGAAAAGGGTCCTGCATATAAAAGTGTATTCAAATCATATTGTAAAGCACCCATCCATGAGAAGTGGCTAGCAAGAACTGCAGGCGTCTAAATAAGGTTGACCACTTAACAGAGGTTTTGTAGACACGAAATTACTGACACATTTTGTCCTCATCTTCAGAAAGGTTTGGAAAGACTCTTCTGAAATCTAAAACTATGCATGGCCACCAGGTCCACTTTTGCAACTCATGTTCCTCTCTTCGTACAAATCCACGGTCTTGGCTCAATTTTTATTATAGCAAAACAGTTTAACAGTTAAAACTGTTTTGCTATAATACAACTATGCAGCCACCCTGATAAGGACCAACCATTATGACAATTTATCGTTGAAATATATAATTGTGGTCTGCAGTTAGTTTGGACATATTGGGAGTCACTGTTAATCACAAGGCAGACAATGTAGTAATTAATAACAGCATGTCTTTTGATAATGTTTAATTTTTGGGCGGTTGAAAGTTCCATTGGCTTTCCACATTCTTTTATTGTATAAAGAAATGTTGGCAAGTCACTAACATTAAACTTGTTTGCTAAAGGCTAAGGTGTAGCCACCTGCAAACATCCAACCGGATGTGGTGAATCAGGGTAGGTCAAAATTACATAGAGATCTTAATGATCTTAATGGGATAACCTCATGTTCATCCATTGGGAGTCGTAATGGCTACAGACAGTGTATAAGAAGAGTGGAAAGTTCTTAGGGTATGCCACACACCGGCTGTGTTTTAAAATGCACGTTGTGCTTACCAGCTAAAAACATACTGCATTTACTGGTTAGTTTTTTACCTATCCTAGCCTGCCTGCATTTATAATGTTTTACAGCAAAGTGTAATATATAGATTTAGCCAGGGCCAAAAGCGAAGCTCCAATTAATAAATTTATAATTTAAATCAAAGAATAAACTTTTAATCCACAAATCAATTAACTTAAGGGCACATTCATGCGACTTTTGAGGTAAAGGCTAAGTTATTTTAGAGTGAAACATCTTACATCGAATTGATAGCCTTATATGTACACCCAAAAAATAGCACACACCTTCGATCACATTCAAGATCACCGTAGATTAGGCCTCGAAAACAAATTCTTGGAAAACAAATCAGACTGAATTTTTCTGCGTTCGACAGGTTTACTTTACAAATTTCTTTCCAACAAATCTGGGGGTGTTTAAACCAACCTTTCATAATTTTTATACATCACATCTGAGGTGAAACAGTACTATTTATCATACAGACCTCGGACAGAATGCGCTATTTCACAATTTTTCAAGACAAATTGCACTCAGTCAATATTCAGGACGATCAATTGGGAGCTTTAAGTGATACCGTTCAACATTTCCAAAATCACCCATACAGCAAGCCGGTTCTCATTTCTATAGTGCGAGCTGTCAGTGTGGTCGAGAGTTTGAATGAACTCTAATAAAGTTAAGCTTCAACAAAATAACGAATTTTTTTTGTTAGTTAATGGTTTCAGTTATAACAATGTGTAATCTTATAAAGCGTTTCATACACGCAACATTTTTGAGTACTCCTGCAAGCAATGTTCATGAACGATGAAAACAAGTGGTGCGGACAAGCGATTAAAATTGCAAGAGAGACTACTAACAATAAATAAAAGAAATATAATTCGGTGAAACATTTACAGAGACAACAATTTTCATTCACGAAGAGAAGTATTAACGTGTGTATAAAAATCCTGAGTCTTAAAGCCTAAAGCTTAAGTTTATGTTTTAAGCCGGCTTCCCGGTGCGGTGTTTACTCTTTTCAAAGGTGAACTCCTCGAAGCAAGAAAATCGCTCAAAGTTTTCTTTCTACAGCCAAATTTATAACTAAATATTCTTCGGAACCTTTTATTTCTATTTGCGGTGAGAAAATATATCTGAAGGCTTTTTAAAGTTCTGTAAGCTTATATCAAACCTGATACTAGGTCAGATCATTCATTAACTCAAATCCAACAAACATGGATGACAGTTGCTGCATATACTGTCGGCGTGAACTGTGCTCGACTTCATGAAATTACATATAACAAAAACAAACATCAAATACAATAATTACTCAGGCTTACCATTCGAGATTTCGTTCCTGAAAGCTATCAAGCAAGGGCACAGTTGCTTGAGACTTTTACACCCTCTTACGCATTAAGCAAGGTGAAAAACGAAAATGATGCCATCCGAAATCGAATTACCAAATTTTGACAAGCAAGACATTTCTCAACCAAAAACCCGGTAAACAAACCAGCCATGAAAAACAGAAGACTCT